CATCTACTATATCCTCCAGAGGTCGACACGTTTCGCTTATTAGCTTCTTCAGGACCCCAAAAACTGTAGGCAAAGAAATCTGATGCCCTAACTGGAAGATGCATATATACATATACAACATTAGTCATACTAGATAATAAACATAGTTGCACACAAGATAATAAAACTTGTACATCAAAGAGCGACGGCAAAAAAAGATATATGGAGTCTACTCCTTATTTAAAAACTTTTTTCATATATATTTTTTGTTCTAGCATTTTTTGTCTACAGCATAGACTCTGTATTTATCCCAAGTATGTTTAACCACTTCAAGTTCGGACATTTTCACCCCCTTCCAGTCCAGACCAACTTCCACCTTTCAGTGCTGTTGCACTTTGAGTGACAATTACTCAGTCATGCAACACTGTACCCATATGAAATGTTTATCTTTTTTGAGTCAGATAGAGCTTTCTTTTGGTGGCATGTAATCAACACTGGGTTTTTTATTTTTTGCTAATTAAATGAAAAAAAATGTTTTTGCTTAGTTTTTCATATAAAATTTTGCAAATAAATAATCTTTCTTCATAACTTTAGGCCAAAATGTATTTTACTACCTTATTTGGGTAAAAATAACTCCAAACAATGTATATTATTTAGTCTTTGTGAAAGTTATAGAGTCTACAAACTATGGGATATATACACTCACTGGCCACTTTATTAGGTACAATTGTTTAGTTCCTTGGTAACACAAATTGCTAATCAGCCAATCACATGACAGCAACTCGATGCATTTAGGCATTTAGGCATGGTGAAGACGACTTGCTGAATTTCAAACCGAGCATCAGAATGGGGAAGAAATGGGATTTAAGTGACTTTGAACGTGTCATGGTTGTTGGTTCCAAGCGGGCTGGCCTGAGTATTTAAAAAACTGATCTACTGGGATTTTCACACACAACCATCTCTAGGGTTTACAGAGAATGGTCCAAAAAAATATCCAGTGAACCGCAGTTGTGTGGACAAAAATGCCTTGTTGATGTCAGAAGAGAATGGGCAGACTGGTTCAGCTGCAACATTCAGATGGTAGGGTCAGAATTTAGCATAAACAACATGAAAACATGGATCCATCCTGCCTTGTATCAATGGTTCAGGCTGGTGGTAGTCGTGTAATGGTGTGGGGGAGATTTTCTTGGCACTAGGAAGGTGTACCTAATAAAGTGGCCAGTGAGCATCTGAAAATTGATCAGTTGAGACCCTAAAATGTCAAACCCTGGTATGGGGCATGGTAGTGATCAGGACGTTGGTATGAGGTATGGTGGTGATCAAGATGTTGGTATGGTGGTGATCAGAACACTGGTAAGGAGTGTAGTAGAGATCAGGTGACCAGTATGGCATAAGGTAGTGATCAGGGTGCTGGTATGGCATATGGCAGCGATCAGGGAGCTGGTATGGGGTATGATGCTGATTAGGATGCTGGTATGGGGTATGATGCAGATTAGGATGCTGGTATGGCAGTGATCAGGGTGCTGGTAGGGGGTATAGCGGTGATCAGGATGCTGGTATGTGGTATGGCAGTGATTATGGTGCTGGTATGGGGTATAGCGGTGATCAGGATGCTGGTATGTGGTATGGCAGTGATTATGGTGCTGGTATGGGGTATGGTGTTGATCGGGATGCTGGTATGGCTTTGATCAGTATGCTGGTATAGAATGTGGAGGTGATAAGAATGCTGGTGTGGAATATGGAGGTGATCAGAACAATGATATGGGGTATGGTGGTGATCAGGACGTTGGTATGAGATATGGAGGTGATCAAGATGCTGGTATGGCAGTGATCAGAACAATGGTATGGAGTGTGGTGGTGATCAGAATGCTGGTGTGACATACTGGGGTGATCAGAACACTGATATAGGGTATGGCAGTGATCAGGATTCTGATAGGGCATATGGCGGTGATCAGGGTGTTGGTATGGAAATGATCATAGCGCTGTGTGGGGTATGGCGGTGATCAGGACACTGGTATGGAGTTGATTAGGATGCTGGTATTTTGGCGATGAGCACATTGGTATGACAGGCTGCTGTACACTCATAGGCTGCAACATCGGTTCTCCAACCAATCTTCACTTTCAGTTTCTATTGTTTACTATGTGATATGCTGTGGCTGGGTGACACTAGGATCGCCGAGCTCCCCTGTGTGCGCTCTGTGAGCTGCGCAGGAGCCACTGATGTGGGCTGACGTACAGGTACATTAGCCCGCATTGGCACTGCTTCCTGTCTAACGTGGACATAATCTCCATGTATAATACATAAGGGGGGATACAATCTCCATGTATAATACATAAGGGGGATATGATCTCCATGTATAATACATAAGGAGGGATATGATCTCCATGTATAATACATAAGGAGGGATATGATCTCCATGTATACAGTCATGGCCGAAATTGTTGGCACCCTTGATATTTTTCCTGAAAATCAAGTATTTCACACAAAAAAGGTATTGCATTAACACATGTTTTGCTATACACATGTTTATTCCCTTTGTATGTATTGGAACAAATATAAAACAGAGGCAGAAAAGCAAATATGACATAATGTCACACAAAACCCCAAAAATGGGCTGGACAAAAGTATTGGCACCCTTAACTTAATATTTGGTTGCACACCCTTTGGAAAACATAACTGAAATCAGTCGCTTCCTATAACCATCAATAAGCTTCTGACACCTCTCACCCGGAATTTTGGACCACTCTTCCTTTGCAAACAGCTCCAGGTCTCTCTTATTGGAAGGACACCTTTTCCCAACAGCAATTTTAAGATCTCTCCACAGGTGTTCAATGGGATTTAGATCTGGGCTCATTGCTGGCCACTTCAGAACTCTCCAGCGCTTCTTTGCCATCCATTCTGAGTGCTTTTTGACGTATGTTTGGGGTCATTGTCCTGCTGGAAGACCCAGGATCTTGGACGCAAACCCAGCTTTCTGACACTGGGCCCTACAGTGCGACCCAAAATCCTTTGGTAATCCTCAGATTTCATGATGCCTTGCACACAGTCAAGGCACCCAGTGCCAGAGGCAGCAAAACAACCCCAAAACATCATTGAACCTCCACCATATTTTACCGTAGGTACTGTGTTTTGTTCTTTGTAGGCCTCATTCCGTTTTCGGTAAACAGTAGAATGATGTGCTTTACCGAAAAGCTCTATCTTGGTCTCATCTGTCCACAAGACGTTTTCCCAGAAGGCTTTTGGCTTACTCAAGTACATTTTGGCAAACTGTAGTCTTGCTTTTTTATGTCTCTGTGTCAGCAGTGGGGTCCTCCTGGGTCTCCTGCCATAGCGTTTCATTTCATTTAAATGTCGACGGATAGTTCGCGCTGACACTGATGCTCCCTGAGCCTGCAGGACAGCTTGAATGTCTTTGGAACATGTTTGGGGCTGCTTATCCACCATCCGGACTATTCTGCGTTGCAATCTTTCATCAATTTTCCTCATCCGTCCACGACCAGGGAGATTAGCTACAGTGCCATGGGTTGCAAACTTCTTGATAATGTTGCGCACTGTGGACAAAGGCAAATCTAGTTCTCTGGAGATGGACTTGTAACCTTGAGATTGTTGATTTTTGCCACAATTTTGGTTCTCAGGTCCTCAGACAGTTCTCGTCTCCTCTTTCTGTTGTCCATGCTTAGTGTGGCACAGACAGACACACAATGCAAAGGTTAAGTGAACGTCTCTCCTTTTTATCTGCTTTCAGGTGTGATTTCTATATTGCCCACACCTGTTACTTGCCCCAGGTGAGTTTACAGGAGCATCACATGCTTGTAACATTCTTATTTATCCGCAGTTGTGAAAGGGTGCCAATACTTTTGTCCAGCCCATTTTTGGAGGTTTGTGTGACATTATGTCGAATTTGCTTTCTTTCCTCCCTTTTTTTGTTTTGTCCCAATACACACAAAGGGAATAAACATGTGTATAGCAAAACATGTGTTAATGCAATACGTTTCGTGAGAAATACATGATTTCCTGGAGAAATATCAAGGGTGCCAACAATTTCGGCCATGACTGTAATACATAAGGGGGGGAAATATGATCTCCATGTATAATACATAAGGGGGATTTGATCACCATGTATAATACATAAGGGGGATTTGATCACCATGTATAATACATAAGGGGGGATATGATCTCTATGTATAATACATAAGGTCGGGAATATGATCTCCATGAAATACATCAGTGGTTCATATAGTGAACTCGGTGTAGAGCTATTCACACTGAGGTCATCACAGAGGACAAAGGGGACTCTTTACGTCTGGAGGAAAAGAAATGTAATATCCAAACATGGAAGGTTTCTTCACAGTGAGAGCTGTGAAAATGTGGAATAGACTCCCTCAAGAGTTGGTTCTGGCCTGCTCCGAGGGATTGCTTTAAAAAAGTCCTGGATTCTTTCTTGGATTTTTTTAGGTAAAGTTGATCCAGGGAATATCCGATTGCCTTTCGGGGAATCAGGAAGGAATTTTTTCCCCTGCAGGAGCAAATTGGATTATGCTTTGCTGGGTTTTTTTTTTGCCTTCCTCTGGATCAACTGTGGGTATAGGATTATAACTTTTTTTGTTGTTGTTGAACTGCATGGACTTTTGTCTTTTTTTGAGCCAGACTTACTATATAACTATTTAGAGATGAGCGAATTATTCAAAAATTCGGTTCGGCTGATTCGCCGAATTCGCCGAATAAATTCGCTTCGAGCCGAATATATTCGCTGCGAATTTAAACTTATAAAAAGGGTGTTTCTAGGCTTCAGAGAGCCTTTATATTAGTGCAGAACACTGTACCTTTAATTTAAATGCCCTTGGAGTCTGCTGGGGAAGAGAAATAATACTGTCAGTCAGTATGACATGCAGATGAGTGCCGTCGATCTTAGAATCACCGCACACTTCACTCATTTGGGCAGTCACGGGGCCAAAACCAGAGTGTGGAGCCACAGTGTGGCGGTGGAGGCAGCAGCAATGGGAGGCCATACAGCACCCTA